TGCCTGTATGGAAATGTCAGAATAAAGTACCTGAAGACCAAAGAGGGTACCGCCATAGTCTAGATGGAAGACGCCATCGCAAACGAACGTACACCCTGCCGGACAGTCACTTCCCAGGCCAGCAAAAATCGCATTCTCCACTTATTCAATACCCCATCCGTATGCCGTCCGAGGATCTGCTGCTGACTGCATTCACCACCAAGGACTGCCACCCGTCGCAAGTGCGAATGTTCCCGCTGAAATAGGATATTTCCTCCTCCGCTCGAGTTCCCGAGCGGTGAACGCCATCATGAAGTGCAACCACAGTGCGGTCGATCACAAATGCACAAAATTTTCGTTCATTATGAAGCTGTGCTTCTCCTCCTCCAAGAAGATGATCGGTGCGTGGAACATCGAAAACACGTTAGCTTTCTTTTTCTGAGAAAAGAAAGGATTTTCCTTTTTTGTGTAGTTAACCCAACAAACAATTTTAGCTGCAGCTTAGCTTATACAGGCCAAAATTAGCTGCATAAGGCAAATTTTGGCTGTATAAGCTAATCTGCAGCTAAAATTGTTTGTTGGGAATGTTATGATTCGTAATTATAATTTCTTATTGTGTTAGTTGGAAGTTCAAAAGGGCAGGAGAGTACAAATAATTTGTTAAAATATGTGAGATTTTACCAAGATGGTCCTCCAATATTAAATGTTGGACGACGGAACGGTTGGTGTAGCAGTCACCGCCATGGATGTATTCGAGCAGTTCGAATGGTCGGATGGTATAGTTTTTGTTTGGTTGTTGACTTTCCGATTAAAACTCAAGCACTGCTTGTCGTGATCGACCCGAGATTTCCAGCGTCGGCCACGGCTACACGAATTAGCGATGCAGCTCCCACGGCTTCGGCTGCTTCCAATGCTGCTGCTTCTGCTGCTCCTTCTGCTGGTCCGTCTCCTCTAAAATTCATAAAAAAGACGGACCCGCAGCAGCATTGGAAGCAGCTGCGTATAGCTATGGCCGGAAACCTCGGTCAGGTCAAGATACCGCTGTCAGCTGTTCTTCGTCTGGGAGAAAATGTGGATGCGACTGCCGTCACGGGTGTATCGATTTTGAGAATCCATTGCGAGACTTGGTGGAGATTCACGGTTGTTTTGAAAATAATTTGATAACCATATTGTGGCAACATCAATTACAAATTTTGACACATGCACACTGCATAAGCGCAGAAAAAGTTCAGTGTTGCTAGTAACTTTAAAGATCATAAAAATTGTAACCATGGGTGCCAAACAGCGTCAATCACGACGCCCAGGTGTGCCCAAGTTTGATTTCGGCACACTGTGTAGAGTGACCAACCCCTTGATCTCACCACATTTTGTTGAGATTTGCAGCTGATGAGTTTTGTTAGCTTGATTTTCCGAGCTGCGATATCACAGCTTGCAAAATCAACCACAGTTGTTTACTTGTTGATTTTTGTCTACGAAAATCAAGCGTGATCTTGGACATTGGTGAGATTTGATTTTTTGATATTTTTCCAACACTGTTCAGGGTGGTCAATAGTTTCTCCAACTTCTTTTTCGCTCAATATTTTCCTCTGCCTCTTTTATCCTTTTCTCTTCTATAGCCATTTCTTTTTCCCTCATCTTTTTTTTTTTGTTGTTGTTCAGAAGTTTACAAAACAAACGTTTTGAAATGTTTGATTGCCTCCTTCACATTTTCCTGTTTCCCTTCCTCATACCCTGTTAAAATTTCCAAAATATCTTCATTCCGGATCATTGATGCTTCCAATTCCTGCTTTTTGGATGTCAATGACTTTTTCCTTGCGCCAACCCAACACTCGCTTTATCCAGTTAGATTGCCTCATCTAGCTCATTACCCGCAGCTGTTACATTGAGGATTTCAATCTCACTTCTAACTTCCTCCAAAACCTGATCAATTTCCGATTATAATTGTGTTTGTTCCGTTGAAAGCTCATTGTTTGTCTTCATTTCAGGAAAAAAATAATTTGAAACAGCTGACTAGCCTGCTTTCCTAGATCTGAAATTTCACCCAAATGTTTTTCCGAATTTATAGCTTTCACGAGCATGAACGTTCGCACACGACAGTATACTAGTCGAGTACTGAGCTTCTCTCTCTGACGAGCATCCGCTTTCGGATTGTCGAGCAATCCACTGATAACTTTGAGCTTGGCACCTATGATGTCAATCTCTTCGGCAACTGCTCTCCAACTGGGAGAAGCAACAAAACTGTTGGTTTCCCACTCAAACTTCATCTGATCCGAACAGAATATTCCTGATGAGAAGTTCGTGTTCAACCTCATCAATAGATAGATGAGACACGTTCATCCCCCTGTAGTGCGTTTGTAAATCCATTAGGGTTTTTCCGTCCTACTAAGCACAACCCGCGCTTTACCTCTCTTTTCTGAACGAATTTAAACAAAAAATGGAATATTTATGTCAAAGATGACTTGCGAATTTATTCACCTTTCCATACGTTTCGTTGGATTTGAAAAAGAGTCACAAATTGTTGAGATATTGTCTAAAATCTAACACTGCTTCTTGATTCTAAATTCGTTCTACGAGTTTAAATTCCGTCCTAACGCATTGAAAGGCCATTAGATTTTCTTCGTCCTACGGATAAACGTAGAAAAAGGGGATTCGCTAGGAGCGCCTCTTTTGTTTTGAGAACAATGAGCGTAAATATTCATACAATGCGCTCTAACAGGATTTATGTTGTAGCTAATGAACTAACGCATCGGAACAAACCTATTATTGATTTGTGCACGGTGAAATCATTGATATTGCCGGCGCCGGTGGTGTAGTGGTAAGCGTGACTGCTTTCTAACACCCCAATGGATCTGGGTTCAATCCCAGCCGAGGTCGGTGGGATTTTTCTGAGGCATAAAAATCTCTGGTCACGTCTTCCTTCGGAAAGGAAGTAAAGCCGTTGGTCCCGGCCCATGTGTGTGTTTTTAATGGGTGCGATATCCTACGCAGGTGTGGAAGCTGCCTTCCTGCACATTCGGTTGCCGTCAATGGATGGCAATCGATTGCGGGGTTGCTAGTGTAATAGGATGCTTTGTTGAGTGTTCATTAACTCTTGATTGCTTGTAATACTTATGAATATTTTAGGTGGACAAAAAGGCGAACTAAGAGGTGGACGCCTGAGCTTTTCCACATTTATATCACTGTGAAGCAGCTGTAAACTATAGAGGGAATTTATATCTGTAACTGAAACCAGTTCGATTTTGTTTGCCAACCTGGTTAAAATGTCATATTTAATTATCTTAAAGATAAATCGTCCAGCTCAAACCTTTGTAGGGGTAAGAGGTGGGACCATCATCATCATCATCATCATCATCATCAACTCTGCACATCTCAATCTATGCCGACTACTTTATCTGTGCCAAAAGCTGTGCCAAGCGTTGTGCCGAACGTGCCGAACATGCCGCAATCAAGGTGTGAGTCTCAGTATCCCATGAGTTTGGCAATCCTGCATTTATGACTTTTGAGATTGTTTGTTTACAATTTCAAGCTCTTATGTAGGGTTAATTGAAAAACGGAAACGGAGAGGTCTAGCCCCAATATACAACCAGGACACCTGCCTTAAACAGCCGCTGAATCGGCATGTGTTGAACTGCCTTTCCAATATAAAATTACCGAAACTCTGAGCTCCAGAACATCCAGTTACCTAGAAAAGACCACTGGGAACCACGAGGTCTTTCACGAGAGGAGAATAGAGCCCTAGTAAGCCTGGTCCATCAGGAGCTCCCACCCGTGTCGAGGTTCCACTGGATCGGAGTCAGGCCAATCCTTCACGTTGGCCTTTCGATTGCGGAGCACTTTAAGGCAGGGAACAACTCTCGCGCTATGCACAGCCACCAAGCGATTTCCCGATCAATGCTCCGTCTACTCGGTGGAGGCGGCGGCCATCTAATTAACCACCACTACACCCTCCGATACACCCATCTGAGTCCTAACAGATTCTGCTAGCGTTTTATATGCCTTGAACTCAGCAACATCAAAACATCCCTGGATCCAAGGAATACAAACGACAGCAGCACCGAACACCTCATATGTCTGTGTACCCGGCCATTGTGGTATACGAGGTAAGCGAAGCGGGCGCACCGGCCGGATGATTACCATATCTGTTCCCAGTTCAGACATTAAAACATGGGTGAAAACAACCTTTCGAGACGCCTGAAACCTAGAGTGTGTAACAAAAAAGGGACCGTTTTAAAGGGTGACATCTTCAAATAGAAGGACACTACGAGTCGGCGGGAACAACAGGTCTCGGCTCCGATCTATGCACCCAAGTAACCCATAATATGGGCCGCGCTACCACTTTTCAGAAGTGGTGCGACGTCTGCAATACTATAATGGCAGTCGAACACCTGATCGTCAACTGCCCCTGCTTCCAGAACATCCGGGTTCACAACAGAATCCCGGACAGCATACACAATGCCCTGTCTAACGACCAATCCACGGAAGCTGCTCTAATAGTCTTTAATAAAGATGCTGGATTGTTCGATAAAATTTAATCAGCGTTCACCAAAAATACAAAACTACGTTACGAAGGGAAGTCCCCTTCAGGGGCTTTCGGAGATGAACCAGCTTACAACTAAAATCTCCTAAACAAAAAAAAAAAGTTTAATGGTTTTCAAGCAGTTTCATTATTTTTAGGGATGTTCCTTGTATTTCGAACAACGAATTTGATCTCCAAGACGATTTGGAGAACCTAGAATAGCTGACATACATGAGAATGGATTCGAAATGATGAACATAGACGTAATGAATATACAGTTATGCGATTATGGGTAGTTTTCAATCCTACGAAAATTATTCAAGTAGCGAAACTGTTCTGTTTTACCCTTTGTCATGCCATACATTTCCCAATACATGAGGGTCTAGAAACCGCAATCACCACAATCTTTTCATTGTAAAATTTTAAACACGAGTAGGACCCAAATCAAGCAATCACAGCAACCTGCAGGGTAGATACTATTCGTAAAACGAACAAATCTCTCAGCAAAATGGGTTTCGATTACTACGCTATTTTGAACATCCCCCGAAAGGCATCCGATGTTGAGATCCGATTGGCGTGAGTCCCAAGGCCTTAAAAATCAACCTTTTCAAGCATAAAATTGTTAATTCACTTCACCAGATACCGAAAATGGGCCGTTCGCTGCCATCCGAAAAACGACTTCCACGATCCACCGGAGATTCCTTTCCCATCGATGCCACTGGAACACTATTGGGAACTTCTGAATGAAGCATTCGATGTACTTTGTTAGCTAACTATGCGATTAAAATACTTAAAGATATTAAAAATATGATTTGCTTTCAACAGCCAATCCCCTTCGGAAACAGATTTACGACGTTTACGGAGAGGAAGGTTTGAAATTAGGTGTCGTCACACCAACTGGATTCGTTGAACCCTACGTTTTCACGAACGATTGCATGAAAATTTACAAGTTGAGAAACCAACTACAATCGTAACACATTATTTCAATGTTTCACTATTTGCAGGGAATTCTTCGCCACCTACTCGCCGTACGGAAATCTAATCGATTCCGTTACAAGCCCCCCACCACTTTGCCAGGACGACAGCCGGATCGTTCGAGTGAAAGGTCCCGACATTGAGCACTTCGTCGATCTGGAGCTGGAGGAAATTTTCCAAGGGGCCGTCAAAAAGATGCGAATTACCCGCGAGGAATTCATCGGTGAAGCTCGAGTTCAAACGACCGTGGTCGAGGATACGCTTACCGTTCATACCCTACCGGGAGTTTCCACGGGGACGAAAATTCGTTTCGAAGAAGCCGGAGACTGCAGTCCGAAGATAATACCCTCGGATATTGTTTTTGTGGTGCGTGAAAAAGCACACCCGAAATTTCAACGGAATGGAGCGGATTTGCATACGCTGGTGCCGATTTCCCTGCAAGAAGCGATGGTAGGATTTCCACTGGAGATAGATGGCGTCGATGGACGACAGTTGGTGCTGCAGATTGTGGATGTAGTTCATCCGGAGTACGTTAAAGTACTGAAAGGGGAAGGTCTGCCTTTTCCGAACGCAGAAGAAGATAATAAACGAGGTGATTTGTACGTGACATTCAAAAGTAAGTATGAATTCGAATCTGCGATTTAGAACAGTTCAAGAATATTTTTCGTTGCAGTAAATTTTCCAGATTTCATCCCAAAAGAGCTCAGGAATAAGTTTCGGCTTCTGTTCGAGGAACTTTACTCGACCAATAGTTAAAAGGATGATTTTATTCACTATAAAGGAACACAACCACTAAATTGGAATTTTTGGCCATAAATCTACGCAGCTCTCTACTTTGGAACAAAATTGTACACAACAATTTCAACGTCTTTTTCTTGCCCGAAAGTAGAATTGAGAATACCTTTTACCTTATTCCACTCCAATCCATCGATGCCACAGCCAATACGGGGAATTGCCACCTTCTTGGCACCATTTTCAGACTAAAATTGATCAAAATTGAATTACAAAACGCCGGGAAAGTAAACCAATTAACTCTTACCATATGCTTTCTCATAGCCTCCAGCGATTTGGTCAGATCATCGTACGTCGGTTTGTCCATCGATCCTTTCTTGGTGACCAAATAGTACACAAACCGTTGGCCGTCCTTCAGCACGGCTACACCGCCGACTCCAGCTTTCTGTGCCTTCAGTTCGTCGACTTGTTTGAAAACTTGCTTGAACTTGACCGCAATTCCGCCACCCATCTTCAGGTCAGCGGCGACGCAGTGCGCCAACGAGTGGTCCTTTGGAGCGGCAAACAAATCACCTTCGATTTCACGAACACATTCCGCCATCTTGGAAACCTGCAACGAATATGGGACCGATGATCAGGTTATTCCTATTTGGAAAATCGACTTCTGAATGTTTCGAATCTATATGTTATGATGATTTGTAGATAGAAAAGATAAGATAGAAGCATATCCACTAGACTAAATTTGACAGGATGCTCGTATTGAAAATACTCTAATAATGAAATCTATTCATCATTTTTTTTTCAACTAAATTGCACTAATGTGTTGCAGAGGAGTGGAATAAATGTGGGCCCTTATTACCGATGTCACTTCACGGTGAAGTGACAACTTATCACGCACGATGAAGTGATTTCCATTTGATCTACACGGCAATCACTTCACCGTGAGTGACATGTGGTCACTTCACTTCGTTTTCACCGCAAAGTGACACCCGTTATAAGGGCCGTGATCATACAAAATAATAACGAAATTTGACGGAAAAACTGAAAAAAAAAGTAAGAAGTTGTATCGAAGACACGACCGTAGATTTCACGTAGGATTACGTGCTCGGTATCAATATTTGGCGACTGTGTTAGGGAAATCACTTTTTTCCATCACGGAAACGCCTCGTTTTTTATTACCATTGTAACAGTTGGACATTTGTGTTGTTGGACAAGTGTTCATTTAAACAGATTCGTAGAAAAATTTCCAGTCGATTGACTTGTTTAAAAGTAAAATCCATCCGCTATTGACATAGTTATAAGTAGTCAAAAGCTGACCACTTTTTGTGACGCGGTCGATTTTGGTTTTTTTTTTAATTGCACCCCCAATATGTTGCTGAAAGACGTAATCCTACGTCAAAATGTCTGCCTGATGAACATGTAGCATTTTTAATGCGAACAAACCGAAGCATTTTTAATGCGAACCGCAAACCATTAAACGTTGCTCCCAATTAATAACTCAGTGTCAACATTTCAAAGGGGCGTAATTGCTTTTGTAAACAATGGCTTTAGCCGTCGATTTCTCGCGAATAAAAGCTCACACATGAAAATTAATGAAACCAACAAGTAGAGGAGTGATTCCTCTACCAGCTAGCATTGTTAATTTGGAGGGGTGAACTTTAATTCGCGAGAAATCGACGGTTAAAGCCAATGTTTACAAAAGCAATTCCGCCCCTTTGAAATGTTGACACTGAACTGTGAAAGTAGTGCAATGTAGAACACTATGTTAAGAGCACACAATAAGCAATAAGTTTGGAATGTGAAGAATAAGGAGAAGAAAACGTTGCGAGCGGAAGTGGTACATGTTCACGATATTTCCAGTACGGGACATCTCGTGAACTTTGCCATATGGAATGTTACCGCCTTCAGCAAAAAAATTCAGGTGACCAAGGTCTTCCGGATGTTATACAGATTAGTTCAGAATTATATCCCTAAGTCCCGCTAGCGTCCATATGATCTTCCTGCATACACGCTAACTTGAAAGTACCCATTAATGGTTGAAAAAGACCCATTTTGAAGAAAAGTGGCTTAACTCATTAAATGAGTAAATTTTTTACCCATTAATGAGTATCTGTTACCCATTAATGAGTAATTGTTAATCATTAATGGGTAACAGATACTCATTAATGGGTAAAATTGTTTAATCATTAATGAGTTAAGCCACTTTTCTTCAAAATGGGTCTTTTTTACTCATTAATGAGTACTTTCAAGTTAGCGTGTATGCTGTATATCTTAACATCCTGACTGTGTAAGAAGATGCTATCTTCGAGTAAGTTGTTCAGGCGATAAAGGCCCTCAGTATGCTAGACAATTTAGTTCTGAGCTAGTTCACTATGCAGCGGTTGTGTGCATACTATCTGTTTAAAGGGTGATACGGTCAAAATTTGGTCAAGGGAAAACGCGTGTAAATCGGTGAAATCCTTTATTTAAAAAATCAAATTAAATTTCTTTTTCAAGTTCAATTAGTATAAAATTCAGGAAAAATATTCAGTTAGGCTTCCGCTTTTCCAAATCCGAATTGCCGGGCCTGACGCTTGACCCCTGCCATCAGATTTTGTACAGCCACCTTGTCCACCTTCTTCACCGCAGAAAGCCAGTTTGCCTTGAACTGCTGCTCGCCCTTAGCAGTTTTTTTGGTCTTCTTTAGGTTCCGCTTGACAATAGCCCAGTATTTCTCAATTGGGCGGAGCTCTGGCGTGTTGGGAGGGTTCTTGTCCTTGGGAACCACCTGCACGTTGTTGGCGGCGTACCACTCCATGGCCTTTTTACCGTAATGGCAAGATGCCAAATCCGGCCAAAACAGTACGGAACAACCGTGTTTCTTCAGGAAAGGCAGCAGACGTTTATTCAAACACTCTTTCACGTAAATTTCTTGGTTGACAGTCCCGGAAGCTATGAAAATGCTGCTTTTCAAGCCACAGGTACAGATGGCTTGCCAAACCAGATATTTCTTTGCGAACTTTGACAGTTTCATGTGCTTGAAAACATCTGCTACCTTTCCCCTTCCTTTTGCCGTATAAAACTCCTGTCCCGGAAGCTGCTTGTAGTCGGCTTTGACGTAGGTTTCGTCGTCCATTACCACGCAGTCAAACTTCGTCAGCATCGTCGTGTACAGCCTCCGGGATCGCGCTTTGGCCGTCGTATTTTGTTTATCGTCGCGATTTGGAGTCACTACCTTCTTGTAAGTCGATAGTCCGGCTCGTTTTTTGGCTCGATGCACGGTTGTAGACGATACACCCAGCTTATTTGCGGCATCTCGGAGAGAGAGGTTAGGGTTTCGCTTGAAACTACCGGCAACTCTCTTTGTCGTCTCAGCGGCTTCCGGTTTTCGATTTCCCCCCGATCCAGACTTCCTGGCTGTCGAAAAACGTTCCCCAAACACTTCAATTACATTTGTAACGGTTGATTTGGCAACTTTTAGCGATTTTGCCAACTTTGCGTGCGATTAGCTCGGATTTTCGCGATGCGCGAGCAAAATTTTGATACGCTGCTCTTCTTGCTTGGACGGCATTTTGACAACTGAAGAGTGAATTCCAAAATCAAAATAGGAGCAACATTCTACACACACACACCTTCAAAATGAGGGGTGTTCAGGTTTTTTAAATGCAAAATTGAAAGAAATACGTCAAGTTGATATTGACCAAATTTTGACCGTATCACCCTTTATTTGACTTGAAATAGTCCCAATATGTGTTGTTAAAAAAAGTACAGATTATACAGACTACTTATACTACAGTTACAAACGAAAATAACTAGGAAAGCATTGTCAAGTTACTAAAAATGCATATGTCTTAAATTTTACACTTAGCTGTTGGGCGTCAAGCGTCTTCGGTCAGTAAAAAAGGCAGAAAATCTTCGGCGAAGCATATTCCGTGAAATCGAACATCCACGCTACTCGGTTGAACGCTCGCTGCAAGCCGTAAATAGCGCTCCCTAAGCTATAATTAGTTGGAAGAAGTGGAAGTCTTAGCATAAGACTGTTGCGTAGTGTTCGAGGTTGAACATTAATGTTCACTTGTTGCAGAATTGCTTCGCAGTCGATTCTCCCTTGCAGAGTATCGGCGACGGTTAAGGCTCTGAAAAGATCTCTTCGGATACGTAAGGGCTCGATATTGATCAATTGGCAGCGATTCTCGTAGCTTGGAAGACGAAGTGTGTATCTCCAAGGCAGCTTACGGAGCGCGAAGCGAAGAAAACGTCGTTGCACAGATTCAATTCGCTCGTCCCCATTATTGTAGTTCGGGCTCCAGACTACAGAGTAGTATTCCAACGTAGATCGTACGAGAGAGCAATAGAGCGATTTCAAGCAGTAGAGTTCTGGACGCTTTGTCAACGACATACGATATATGGTGTGAGTATGTCAGCTTTGAGTCCAGAAAAAAAGCCTTTCACGCAATGTACCCGTTCGATAGTCGTGCCAAGTAGTTTGTAGTTGAAAATAATGCGGTTGTTTCTTGCGTGAGAAAGTAATGATTGTACACTTAGCTGGGTTGACCACCTTAGACTACACCAATCAGCAAAGATGTCAATCTGATTTTGGAGAGAACGGCAGTAGGCGAGTGAACGGATGCGCAGAAAAACTTTCAGGTCGTCTGCAAACGATAATCGTGGCCCTGTGATAACATGGTGAACGTCGTCGAAGTAAAAGAGAAATACCAATGGTCCCAGATGGCTACCCTGAGGTATTCCGGACTTTGCGCAGAAGCTTGCTGAGCGACAAGTACCCTAAGTTACTGTCAGTTAGAGCTCCGTGAGGTATGAATGAAACCACCTTAAAATATTTCCATCGATCTCTAGCCTATCAAGCTTAGCGATCGCAATTTCGTGGTTCAGCTTATCGAAGGCTGCCGTAAGATCTGTGTAAATAACGTCCGTATGGGTCCAAGCAATCAAACTGTCTGTGATGTAAGACGTTAGGCAAAGTAGGTTCGTAGTTGTGGCTCGCCCAGTTATGAGTCCGTGTTGATCTATACTTAGATATTGCTTGCAATGCGCATTTAGGGACTCTATGACAGCCAATTCAAAACGTTTTGATACAGCACTCAGCGACGTGATCCAGCATTTGCTGAACGTCCTTGACTGCCCCGCCGTTTCGTCGATGTCGCTGATTTGAAATTGCCCAATATTTTTCGATTGGTCGAAATTCCGGGCAATTTAGAGGATTCATTAGCTTGGGGACAAAATCAATCTGGTTGGCAGCATACCACTCCAGAACCACCTTGGAGTAGTGGCAGCTGGACAAATCGGGCCAAAAGATGACTTTGCCCCTATGCTTGTGGATGAACGGCAATACACGCTTTTTCAGGCATTCTTCGATGTAAATTTGGGATGTCATCGTTGAGAATGTGACGAATGGTTCCGTTTTAAGGCCACAACGCCCACAACTGCAAATCGCTTGCCAAATCATGGCCTTCTTCGCGAACTTGTCGGCAAACACGAACTTCAATCTTCCCGGCACATCCCCACGTCCAGTCGCGATGTAAAACTTTTGACCGCGAAGCTGCTTAAAAACGAGTTTGACGTATGTTTCGTCATCGATCAAAGTGCAGCCCTTGTGTTTCTTTCGTCAAA